CCTAAATTTTCCTTGAGAAACTGTATAGTTCTAGGTTTCACATTTAAGTCTTTGATCCATCTGGAGTTTGTTTTTGTGTGCGGTGTGATGTACAGATCTTGTTTCATTTTTCTGCAAATGGATCTCCAGTTTTGCCAGCACCATTTATTAAACAAACATTCTTCTCACAGATTTCTTAAAGACACAATTCATACTTAAAAAGGGTCCAAACTTCTCCATTTCTATATCCTTTGTTAGAATGGAACTATTATTATTTTTTCTCCCTTTGTGTAACCTCAGACAAGTTTCATAACTTCACTGAGGCTCAGATTCCACACCTGTAACATGGAAATAATAGAAATATTTATCACTCAGTGTCATTGTGAAGATAAACACATGTGTCTTAGGCTGGATTCTCTAGAGAAGTAAAACTTATATATGTATATATAGAGAAATTTGTCTCAACGAAATGGCTCACACAGTTGTAGAGGCTGGCAAGTCCCAAGTCCATTGGTCAAATGTCAAGCTGGAGGCTTCTCCTAACTCACACAGCTGCAGGGGCTGATGAACCCAAGATCGGCAGGCAATATAGCAGGCTGTTGGCTTCGGAGGCTGACAAATCCAAGATCAGCAGGTAACATGGCTGATTGTTGGCTCACAGGCTGTGAAAGCAACAATACCAAGATCAGCAGGCAATACAGCAAAATTAAGAGCACACCCCACATCATTTATTCTCAAGTCCAGGAACTATAGATCATGATGAACTGGGTACAGGATCCAGATCCAGCAGAAAGCCAGAGAGCTTTGCCAGAGCTTTGCCATATATACTGGAAGCAGGTCACACCCCAAAGGAAACTCCCTTTGAACTGATTTCTTATAGAAGATCTCATCATGGAGATGATTACCTTATACCAGAGCTCATCATGGGGGATGACTACATCATAACTGCAAAACCACTTAGAGAATCATGGCCCCACCAAGTTGACACACAACCTTAACGATCACAATGTGGAAGAATCTAGCACAACACCTGATAAAAAGCAGTATCTCAATATTTAATTCTACTGAGTATCTTTAGCGGAA